ATTGCGAAATGATGGGGAGCCGGAAACCCCTGTTCATTCACTGAAACCTTCTGCCCGTGGTGGATTTATCAACCGCTTGCAACAGGCGGGAGCGGGAAGCAGGATCTTCTCACCTGGATGCCCGTACCTGGATGCAGACAGCATCATCCTTGAGGGAAGTGACCTAGAGGGACAGGACAGCAGGGTGGCCCCCGCCTCCTTCCTCACATTTACCTGCAGCAGGGCTGGAGCAAAGGTCAGGTACAGGGGAACCCTTGCTAAGGGCTCACAGCTCAGCAGGGGCCCACTGAGAACGCCCCCCCCCCCCGGGGGCGCATCTCCTTTTCATCAGGGCTTGCTTGCAGGCCTCCGGCCCTGGCCTGGGCAACGGTGGCCTGGAGGAGGAGATGCCAGCCCACCTGCCCACCACCTCCATGGCCCTGAGGGCATCTCATCCAGGGCTGTCAACACCCAAGAGGAAGCAAAACTGAGCTGGCTTCCCAAACCTCTGACGCAGTTTCTTTCTCACCGGCACCGATGCATCGCTTTCTGAGAAGGGAACAGGACGAGGTGCTTACAGACTTGTTTGCAGAAAAGCGGTGCATGCAATAACCCGAGAAACAACCTCTCTCCACATGCCCCGCGGCGACAGAGGGCTGGAGGGCCACCACGGTCTTGGCATGGAGACCCTACGAGCTGCCAAAGCTGCTGCGACAGGCACTGGCCCCGATCCGCTCCTCTCTGTGTCGACGTTTGGCCTTTCCTTGCCGCCTGGGCCATGCGCCAGCGAGGTAGGAGTCTCAAGCGCCCCGGCAGGGAAGACACTTGTACAATGAACCCCAAGCTGCATGTTGTGCCACAACATTTTCCAAATTGCTTTACTTTAAAATCCGTGCCTGGGCTTGCTCTCGTTTGTGTACACCAGCTCAAGCGACTGACCCGGCTAGCCAAGCGATCTGCTCTGATCCTCCGGGGTCCCATCCTGCCACTCGCCCAGAGTCCAAAACATGTAGGATGCCTGCACTAAGCCTTACAAACAAGCCACTTCCAGCAGTTTTCATTCCAGCAGGAAGAGGTCTTTGTACCGCGAATAGGTCTGAATGGTCCATTCAAGACCAAACCGCCCACAAATCCCATTGCATCACTGCAAGGAACAATTATGCTGTTTCTAGAAAAATTCTCCTTTCCTCCTGCTAGCGGGAGGGCGGCAGCTAAGCTCAGCGTGAACTGTGAGGCAATAGCTGTGAACCATCCCAAGATGCCAGTAGAGGGACAGTCTATAAAGCTTTACATAAATTAAATAAATTTGCATAGCAGATACCAGATTCCTGCAAACCTCAGTGCCGCTACACTGCTTGTCTCGAGTGGAGGGGTCTTTCTCCCCATGTATTACCCAAGCTCCTTTTAATGGAGATGCTAGAGGTGAATTGCAGGGCTACTAGTTACACTTCCTTTCCTTTGCCGTGCTGAGGTCTTCTTCGTGGCTTTTGTCCGTGAGCCACCCTGGGAATCTTTCTCTGGATTTCCAGGTGTTAAATGCTTGGTGGAAAATGCATGTCATGGGATTATACATGTAATTAATTATGCAGTAAATCAATCGGCATATTCCCATGAGAAAGCAGTGGGAGAAACTCAGTGTATCTGTGGGCAAAGAATTCAAGTTTCCAGAGTGTCTTGGCGTTGATCGATCGTGCAAAAGAACTCATTTCTGGTCATCGGAGTACACGTGGACAATACCTGCTGAACTCTCACAAGCCAGAAGCATGGCTGAGTAAGAGTTGTTTGGGAAACGTGCCTCTGTCATAACTAGTAAAGCCAGAAAAGATATAGACAATAACAAATTAAACCATGCAAAGTAAAGGAAGTCCTGGAAATGTGCTTGATTCGCATCAAGCACACACACAACTGGCATATCTTGCTTCAGAATCCGAATTGCCTGGGTGGAAAGTTTCAGTGTTTGCAACTCTGCACTTTTGTGTAGAATAACTGTGCTGTACATACAGCCCTACCAGTAGCAGAAATCTTTGATTCAAATGACTCTATTGCACTGAAATCAATGTCCGTGTAAATATACAAACACTGTATTGTGTTTTCCCCAGATTTTCATCTGTGCTCTTATTGTTTTATTATGATTCTAGATATCTTCTTAAAGAATTATCTGTGCACCACCCAGAGAACTTAAAATTATTGGGTGCCATAAAGTGTGAAAAATATGAATAAATGAATATTAAGGCATTACAACAGACACTGCTTGCAACTTCCCGAAGCCTAGTCGCACTGCTTATCCGCCACCGACACGAGCTCTTGCCTTCCCGAAGCCTAATCTGCTGCCAATAATTCTTCTGGAAGTGCAATTTGTCCATGTTCCATATGATGTCTGCTTATATTTTAGGAAAGCAAAAGAAGTTGAGATCCTGTATTAAAAATACAACTGGATGGATGACAAAACTCCCAAGGGGCCACCTCTAACAGAAGGCTGACCCTCAACACAGTGGCCTACAGAGGTCAAGCCATTCTGGTGGCCTTATGATGTTGTTCTGAAGCAGCAATTTGTTATTTTCTCTGAATTAGCAATGCCATCAATTCCTTTTTTCCCCTTGGGAGCCCTAACCTTACACAGAGGGAGTTGCCTAGTTGTTCAGTGGGGCTGGCAATTCTTGGGGGTCGGGGGTCACCTCCCACCCAACTCCCGCAGTCTGCCCTTTGCAGGGTACCAGGGGAAAAATGCCTAGTTGCGTGCCACTACAGGGACTCAAAAGGCCAGATGCGGCTTGAAAAGGAATCGGCCTGCCTACAGCGCCTTCCCAGGGGTCTGCAGCCCTGAAACCCGGTTTCAGCACAGAGCAGCAGCACCTCTCCAGTTCTTGGGCGTCTCAGGCAAGGATGCTTGGCAGGCCGTGCTGGATGGGAATGATGTGCGTTGTAGTTTGAGATGCCTGGAGGGGTCCAAGTTAGGGACGGGCTGGTACAGCGGACAGCACTTCACATGGGCTGAGCTTTGTTCCTTGGAATCATATGCCACACCGCAAGGCTCTCTTTTCGGGCTCTTTTGCTGAAAAGTCTAGGAAATGAACCTTATTTCCTGAACACACAAAAAAGGGCATTTCCTGAAGTTGCCCGAAGCATGCAGTTTTCTCTAGCAAGTGTTCCTAACGCAAGACGGAAAGCTGCCCCTTTGTGGAATCAAAGAGATTTATGTCTTCCATCAGATTCAGTGGGGCTTCCTCTCAAACATATAAAAATTGTGGGCCTAGGGGCTTTGTAAATGATTTTTGATCTGACTGGAAGACAGCTGCTAAATATTGGCTGGGTGAGCGAAACCAAGATGGGAAATTTACTCACTTCCACTTCCGGCCTGTTCCCCCATATAAGCACTTTTTTGCTCTCCATCTGTTTTTGCTTTCTTCACACTTTCTTCTCCTCCTCCACTACCTCACCTCCTGACTTCTTCTCCCTGAATTTTTCCTCCTCCTGGGGCATCTTTCCAGCTCTCCTCTTTCTTCCAGGAAGCTGTCGTTGTGTTGGACTCCGTCTGTGACAAGCCTCCCCCTTCCTCCCAGAAAATGAACTGCAGCCTGAGCGCATGGAATGTTTGCTAGCATTCCATGCCGCCACAACAACTTAAACAACCAGTGGCAGAAGCTTCAGATACAGGCCAAGTCAAGGCTAATTAATTTGTCGGAGCAAAGTAATGCAAAAGCCAGTAGAAAGACACAATCCTACACCCTCTTCCCAAAAGTAAGACACACTGAACTCAGTAGAACTAGTCCTGAGCAGGCATCCTTAATTACACTGTCAACATCCTTTTGAAAAAGGCCCAAAGTCTCAAAGGACTGGTTTCAAAAAACAGCAAGAACTCTTTTGTTATGTCACCAGCGTTTTCATCCTGCCTTGACCATGACTGCCAGCCTTGGGAAAGTAATTTCGACCCAGCCCTTCTTCCCAGTTGCTTAGAGAAGTGCTTGTCCTCCAACGTTCATCCGTTAAATCCAAACTAAGCTAAGGACCATTTCCTATTGGAGCATTTCTATTTTTAAAAAAGTATTTAAAAATAAGCAGAATGCCATGGTTGTAAAATGCATATATCTTCATTTGGAATTTCCTTCAAGCAGGAGCAAGGCTGTCCAGATGTTTGGACTAAAACTCCTATCGGCTCCATCCAGCCTGGCCCAAATGGAAGGACTCCCGAAGAGGAGTCACAATCAGCACATCTGGAGCTCATGAGGTTGCCTTCCTCTGTCGTAAACATGGGCAGAGAAGCCAGCAAGATGAACCCATTGCCCTGCCTGCTGCATGCTGGAAGCCAAAACCATCCATCAGACTAACTATGGACCGGCAGAAGGGTTTAGTGCAGGCTTCTCCAACCTGGAGCTCTCCAAATGTATTGGACTGCAGTTCCTATAATTCCAAGCCAGTATGACCGAGGAATTATACTGGGAGGCTGCCCGGAGTTCCCAGATTCAAAATGCCTGTTCTTCCCATTTATACTGGTATCCCTTCCTTCCCCGGATCTCTCCTTTGGACTGCCTCTTAAACTGCCATTTCCTCTGGGCAGGGACCTTCCCCCTTGCACTTGACTCAGCACCCCGCTTGCGGAAGGCTTCATCGCACGGAGCTCCGTCCAGGCACGTGGGGAGTCAACATGCACGGAGCGCCAGTGTGGTGCGGTAGCCGGAGGGCTGGAACGCAACTCGGGGGGCTGGGCTTGGGCCCCACTGGCCACGAAGCTCCCCCAGTGTCTCGGCACCAGCCGCAGCCTCCCCCACCTCCCGGGGTTGTGATGAAGATACATGGGGCCCTGGACCTGGACCTATCAATGCAACCAAAAATTAATGCAGCCTAACCCTAACCCACCAGTGAAGCATTCCACACACTGCTGGACACGCCACAGACTCAGCTGCTCGGTGGCCTTGCTGAGCGGCTGCCACCCACCCACCACACGCGTGTCCCAGCGTCCCCGGCAGCGTCGAACACGAGGCACGTTTCACCCAGTGGCTGCAGCAGCCTGCGCAGCCGCTTACCTTTCTGAAGGTGGATGATGTCGGGGAAGTTGGAGAGGAGCCCTTGGTACAGGGAGAGCGTGTCCAGCATGAGGAACAGGTCGTTCTTGGGCTGCTCGGCAAACATCTCCCCCACCGTCTCGTAGGTCTTGCCCGTGTGCGAGATGGCCCCGTTCAGGGCGTCGAAGCTGTACGGCGGGTCCATCTGGAAGGACTGGCTGATGGCCTGGAAGGCGCTGCCCAGCTTCTGGAACTCCTTGCGGAAGCCTCCGGCGTGCTTCCGCACCAGCTCCGAGGCCACGTTGGTCAGCTGCAGGACGCTGTCTTCCATCTTCTTGCTGAAGGCCTTGAACGTGTCCACCCGGTCCTCCACGTCCTGAAGGTCCTGGTGCTCGGTGGGGATCTGGAGGGTCAGCAGGAAGCTGGCGCCGACCATCTCGTCCTTCTCGGCCCGCCGCTTGCCCATCTTCCACTGCTTGTCGTCCCCACAGGTGAGGAAGTGCTGGAAGCCCTCGTACTGGGAGAGGGCCGGGTGGGTGGTCATGTGGTCCATCCACAAGATCAGCCTCCGCTTGCGCTTCTCGATGAAGTCGTCCTCAAAGCGGCCCGTGGCCTGCTTCTCGGGCAGGTGAGGCACGGAGATGACCGTGAACTTGTGCAGGAGGCGGTTGTACAGCCAGTCGAAGTGTTTGTACCGCCGGTAGACAGGCGAAGTACAGTTGCTGGCCGTCAGCCGGTAGGAGATGTAGCTCTTGATGCCCTTGAACTTGGTCTGTTTGGTAGGGTCCTCCACGGAGCAGGCCAGCGGGTGTGGATTCGACCTCCACTGCGGCCCCTTGGGACCCATGTCGATGTAGTATGCCTCCGCTATCTTGCCCATCATGGGCACGTCTCCCAGAATGAAGGCCTCCACCCCCGACCGGACAAAGCAGGAGAAGCGGTTGAGGTTCCGGCCCACCACGCTGCCCCTTTTGCTGGAGCCGATGCTGTCCTGCCTCTCCAAGGAGGGCTTGGGCCGGTAGCCCACGTTGTTGGGATGGGTGTACGGCCCCGGATGCGACAGGCTGGGGGACGGGTGCCCGTTGGTGCCAGCCCTGCCCCGGGGCTGCTCCTCCACCACGGTGCAGCTGTCGTCCCAGTCGTCCCAGTCGTCGTCATCGTCATCCTCGAAGCTGCCCTGGTGGGAAACCGTGGTGCTCGCAGGGGTGATGTAGAAGGACGAGCCATTTCCTGCCGGGCTCTGGGAGTAATCCGTGTAGGTGGAGGCGGATCTGGAGCGAAGGATTTCTACGTAGGATGCAGGGAAGAGACCCGTTTCCCCTCTGCTGTTGGTCCCCTGCAACCAGCCGTCCAAGGAGTTTTCACTGAAGATAACCAGCTCCTCGTTCTCTCGGATGCTAATTTCTTCTTTGTTTTCGCTCTGGAAGTTGTAAAGTGCTCTTGCTTTTGTTGACATGGTTGCAACCTGCTGCCAAAACCTTAAGTCTCCTGACTGGAATCACAGTTCCTTGGATGCTTAAGTTACAGGCAGGAAAACACAACAGCGCCCTTATGCCTTTGGGAGCAGTAACAGCTTTAGGGAATGGGGATTTCACAGGCTTTCCCTGAAAGGAACACAATAATTTATCTTTTCCGTAAAGATCAGTGCTGAGATGTAGACATTGCAGTATGTTTCATAGTCTTGCAGGCATGAGGGAAGAAAGACATGCTCAGGGCCAACCAAACCGCATTTCTGACCCTTCGTTTTAGGTTAAATAGGCTTCAGTCAGATTCCAAGACAGCCAGAAAGCAGTCATCCCTAGGTCGATTTTATCTTGCAAACAGGTTATTCCTGAACACTTTTCGTGTTACACTGAAATTATGCAAAAAGATTAGAACTCTCCATCAGATAAGAGCTGTCCAAGAAGTTTTTTCATGGAAATTCCTTCTTATATATAAAGCAATGAAGTCTTCTTCTTTTAAAACTAAAGCCTGTGCAATACTCAATCACAGTGGTTAAAAAAAAACCCTTCAAGGCTGTGTGTTTGCGTGTGCGGAATTAAAACAAAAACAGAAAAGTCTTGCTTATTATAGATCAAAAATGTTTTGCAAATTTAGAATATCCCGTTTGGGCCGGATTCAAAATCCACATGCCTCCTGCGCAGGGTGGAAGAAAATGAAAACCACAAATCAATTCAAGCCCGAATAGGTCACACCTTGGACTGAGCACTAAGACAAAGTTCATAAGGGCTTCACCTGAAAGAGAAATATAAATGAGAAGGGGAAGAACCTCTTCCGAAGTTTAAAATCTTGGGAGGGAAGGAAGGAAGCACAAACCGGAGCGAAGCGAAACCCGAGCAGCGCGACCACCCTTTCCCCCAAAAGCGCTCGCAGGGCTTTCAGGTCACTCCGATCCACCAGCTGAGCGCGAAATCCTTCGGGGGGCCAAGAGGGCTCTTTACTTAATGACTCTTTCCTTGGTCAGTTTCCAGCCGCTGAACTAGCACAGGTCCAAACAAATCCCGATCCTGAGCAAGGTTTCTCCAAGAAATGAAGCGAAGGGGTGGAAAAACAACAGCAGCGGCCGCCACTGGGAGTGTAAAGCGAATTCCGGAAAGTCCACGGTGAAGCTTACCGCAAAGCCGCAGGAAATTCGATTACCGCTTTCCGAACAGCCCCGCGAGGGGGGGGGGGGGGCGGGGGGGGGGGGGGGGGGGGGGGCGGGCGCGGGGGCGGGGCGAGGCGAGCGCCGGGGACGGGAGACGCGCGCCGGGGCTGCCAGCGGAGCCGAGCCGAGCCCAGCCGAGCCCTCCGGAGCGCTGGCCGCCGGCGAAGTTTCCGCGGAGTTGCTGCCGCAGGGGCTCCGGCGGGCGGGGCGGCGGCGGCGAGCCCCGCTCGGGCGCGCGGAGTCGGCCCGCACCGCGGGAGGCGCTTCCGCTGCGGATGGGACAGGACGGGACGGGACGGGCCTGGGGGCTCCGCGGCGCCGTCCGTGCGCCCCAGCCGCGCCCTTCCCG